CAACCCAGCCACAAACAATAGTTTCTTGCTTAGTGGCTAGATCAGCGAGGGGCAACCTCGGCCAGCGAGCAGGCCACATCAGCGATCCTCCATCTCCGTGGACCGCAAGATCGTTGTCACCAAGATGATCTCCCGGGACAGGGTTGCTTGCGTGCCTAGAATTTACGAAGGGTGCCAATTGCACCGTAACAGCGCTTTGATTGGATGCAGATGGAGCACACGGCTCTGACGGTCAACGTTATGTGCAATCAGCGTGCACCTTACGTCACGTACCCTAGCTTTATGGGCCCGGCACTTCTGTAATACCAGTAGGGAAAAAACGACATGGAAGGAAACCAGTGGAATTGGAAAACCTGTAGGTGGGCAACAGTAAACAAAATGTCTCGTGGGCCACACACAGAACCCCGATGGGCTGTAGGTTGCCCACCATCGCTCCAGAGGTCTCTGTGGTTGACATTCATCATTTTAATGTTGACCAACGAGCGGTGACAGTAGAAAACTGGGAACTCTCCTCTGAGCTTCCGGAAAGGGCAACAAAAATGATGAGGGGTTTAGAACAGGTCCCATATGAAGAGAGATGAAAAAGACTTGGACTTTTCAGCTTAGAAAGGAAGAGACTAAGGGGGATATGACAGTCTATAAACTCATGACTGGTGTGGAAAAAGTGCATAAGGAAAAGTTATTTACTTGTTCCCATAATATAAAAACCAGGGGGTCACCAAATGAAATGAATAGGCAGCAAGTATAAAACAAACAAAAGGAAGTTTTTCGTCACACAGTCAACCTGTGGAACTCCTTGCCAGAGGATGTTGTGAAGACCAGGACTTTAACAGGGTTCAAGAAAGAGCTAGATAACTTCATAGAGGACAGGTCCATCAATAGCTCTGAGCCAGGATGGGTAGAAATGGTGTCCCTGGCCTCTGTTTGTCAGAGACTGAGAATGGGTGACAGTGGAAGGATTACTTGAAGGTTCCCTGTTGTGTTCACTCCCTCTGGGGCGCCTGGCCTTGGCCACTGTCTGCAGGTAGGACTCTGGGCTAGATGGACCCTTGGTCTGACCCAGCGTGGCCGTTCTTATGTCCTTAATCTGTGCAGTTATGGTTCCATGGATGAGAGAGCCTTGAACCACTGGCCTTCCATTTTGCAGTAGCAACTTAGACGCCCCCCCCCCCCCAAACAGTTGATTTTTTATTTAGATCAGAAGCCGCCAGCAATCAGTTGTTTCATTGGGGTCAATGCGGCTCTTGCTGGGTGTCTGATTGAAACACTGACACCTGCCAAAGTAGAGGTGACGAACCATCTGTGCCGTCTGTGGAGAGGTAAAATCTACACCCCTGGTGTCCTCGCTAGGCGATAAGACGGTTCTCTGGTGGCCTCCTCTTAGCGATTGCTGCTGTTTCTGCAGGGTTGGGTTTGAGCCCCACAGCTGCGTCATGTGACCAGCGTGTTTATCCTCTGACACGTTTGGCTCGATCTAACATGCCCGTCTTTTCTCCAGGTCTAGGGCTCTGACATATCACCCCCCCCCCACACATGCAGCCACACAGGTGGAGAACTTTCACGGCAGCCCCCAACTCATGAGATTTTTAAAACAGCTTCTTTTTTCCCCCTAATTTGTCTTCTGGATTTTGAGTGTTTGGGCTTCGTCTCTTCATATTTTTCTCTGCCGTCAGGAGGGCTCAAAGGTTACTGTGTAAAGTAACATAAGCTGAGATTCTCACCTGCTGTTTGCAAAACATTTCACGACCACAGACGCATGGTGAGGTCCGTGCTACGGTCCTGCTCTTCTGCAGGTAAACCTTATGCACAGGGCCTGCAGGAAATGTGTGTGTGTGTGTGTGTGTGTGTGTGTGTGTGGTTGTGCGCTGTTCCCTTTTTTGTTATTCTGCAGCATGTCCCTAACACCACTGCATCTTGTCCACAAGGACTGGACCCAGGCCCCAGGCAGCTCGGTGTGTCGTCAATCTGCTTTCTTTTGGAAACACGTCTCCGGCTGAACGATTTCTGAGGCACGAAGAGGAGACTACACACACCCCGGGTGGGCAGCGAGAATCCCAAACGGCTTTGGTTTACAGTTTGAATTTTTCTCAAAAACATTCTTTCCGTTTCATTGGGTTTAAAAACACCAATAAAAAGGGTGTAAAGCAGGACCTGCGCAGACCCGGGTTTTATTTTTTGGGGCCCACGTGGATTTTTTGATACCTGCAGAAATTTCCGTCACCGGTCGACTCAATTTGTTGCAGAAAATTTGAGGGGAGACCCCAAAAAATGCAACGTTAATAATTTGTCCACAGTTTTTAGTCTTTGGATGGAAAACCCCCCCCCCCCCCCCCCCCAGCCT